AGGTCGGCCGGGAGAGTCTTCGGGATCGTTTTGAGAATTGCGTAGGATGGGAACCTCGGTTGTGGCGTGGGGAGGTGGGAGTGCTAATAGTCTGAGTGGGTAGATTGGGTGCTCCGTAGGCCAGATGGACCGTGGGCTGGATGTACGTTGGTGGATCGACACCTTCAATTTCCCACATTGTCTCTTCGGCAGGATCGGTCGAGTAGGAGTGTTGAAGGAGCTCGTGTCTGTTGGATCCATAGATTGAAGAGGCAACACTCTCGACCTCTTCTTCGTCGTCCGAAACTACCGCATGTGGGTCGCTGTCGGCGTCTGGACAGTAGGAATAGATCTCGCAGTGAGAGAGATCGATGACTGGGTCCAAGACTTGACGGATCAGGGGGTGGATGGCGGTGAGTGATGGGTTGGTAGTTGGTTGAGAGTCTTCTTGTGGGCTCGAGTTCTTCTTTGGAATGCATTCAGGGGAGGTCGAGAGGGCGCCGAGGGTTGAAGCGAAGTTGGCACCGGATCGATCGAGTTCGAGTGCCTCGGAGATTTTAGTCAGGACGGCCTGTGGTGATTCAGCCTGGAAGTCTTCGACCTTGACCCGACTGAAGTTGTGGTCAGGGTAAGCAGCGTTGAGGGTGGCGATGAGGAGCCAGAAGGTCTTTCGGCAGTCCTTTCGATCCAGTCTTCCGAATGCGGATTCGAGCGCATTGGATGACGAGAGTGCCTCTGGCGATGATGATGAGGTGGAGATCTCGAGATCAGAGGTGAACTCCTGGTCCAATGATTTCATCAGTTTGCGCTCGCTTGCGACTGACTTGCAGGAGTAAGCTTCGATCCTTGTCATCGTTCGCACCGAATGAGAAGAGTCTGATAGCATTGAAGCTAGAAGCCCGAGCTGAGGTCCAAGCAGATAAGGAAGAGTCAGGCCCTTGGTAGGAATATCATGAGATTATGGTCAAAAGAAGTGGGACTGACCTCGGGGATCTCAAGATATTTCATGGCTTTGGGATGGAATGATTCGAGTGTGGATGAATCTTCCTTGTTCTTGTTTGCCTATTGCTATTTGAACTGGTTGGTTTGGGAAGCAGTTCTTGGAATACTTTGATTGGTAGGTTTAATAGTCGATGAAGGGGTTGAGCTGGCGTGGGGTGGTGTGGTGATATGGATGTTGCTGTGTGGCGGCGAAGAGCTGTGTCTATGTATGCGGTGGACTGTGTATGGAATAATTGCATGTGGCCTTATAAACCCATGACTGAACGGGGGACTGGCACCTTTCCGGTTTTGTCAATCGAATAAACCGGATTTGGGCAGTTTTCTCCATCCACTCAAAACCTCAAACTCGGTTGTAACCATTCAACCGCACAACATTAACGGCCCATAGAGGCCCATAGGGTACAAGCTGGTACAAGAAGCGCTGATTAAGCTTACTATACTGAGCAAAAGAACTCAACTGCTTTTACTCCGACTGAACAAGCTCATATCTTTAGATGTGGGGATCGCATACGTCACATATAGGTGCTTCTTTCTTCCTGGAAGGCCATGCCCATGGTAAAAGTGCCAAAGTTATCAAACTTGAATAATAAGTCCAATCTTCCATTTGTTTCTTGCTTTTGGCGCATGCACTTGCCAGAAAAACAGAGCCTGGCTAGGAGACCCCAGCTGACCAGCACAGTAGAAACTAGAACGTGAGCGCAAGCCTGAAACTGGATCCACACAAACACTGATCAACTCACCTGAGCCGGTTCACTCAAGCACCGGAATCCTCCTCAGATATTCTGCCCCGCCCTATCTCTTAGGATATCATAGATATTTAGTTTGGATAGATCGGCAAACATGATCGCCTCCGGGTCCACCCTTGGACTGCGGAGGAAGAGAGATCACCCATGTGAGGTAAATATGTAAAAGTCCGAGGAACAAGAATCAGATATACAGATTCAAACTCTCAGTGTATACGAGCGTTGGGCATAGGAGTCATGAGTTGATCTCAATATTGGGAGAAAAATCTTATTCACGCCACTCTTGGTGGGTTCATCCGTTCATGAGGGTTTCCAAAGGAGGTCAGGTGCCCCTATGGCCGCAGGGATTTCATCTTTTTTTGAGACGGGGGGGGGGGGTCAGTTAAGACAAGCCAACCCTTGGGGAGATTGTTACCAAATGTTTTCAGTCAGAGCTCACAGAGGCTTCGGCCAGCTTAAAAAGATTGAATCTCTAAGATGTTTTCTTTTGCCACATGGGGCTGTGATACATAATCAAGTTTGACCACAAAAAAACTGTTGATTTCGTTGACCAAGGAGCAGGAAGAAAACCCGGAAAGAATAAAACAAGCTGCCGGATTGACTGGAAAACTGGATGAAAATCCATGATCCTATTCTACTGGATGTATTTCTTCAAATGTAATTTGGCCTAGGGCACATTGCACACTATGAATCTTAGGAACACCAGATTGAAAACAAGTTGAAGACAATAAAAAAAATACATGATATGCTAATGTTATGAGAAGTGGGTGGGGAATGAGAATAGCAACTGCATGTAACTGGAAGAATTGAAGGTTATAGATTTGGCATGGAGGAAACCTCGTCGAATCTCTTGCAAGTCCATTGCAAGAGGGATAATTATTTTAAAGCTGATGATGGTAATCCTTTGATTCCGTAGCATTACTCAAATGAATTGCAATCAAACACTGGTACGTTTCCAATACAAGTCTGCTAGCGATAGTACGGAGAAATGGATTTCCTGATGCCATCCGTAAAGGTTCTATCATTTGACAACTTGTTATCAACTTGCTTCATACACTATGTCATTCGTGAATGATGAACTGGGGAGTACATAAGGGACAGGAAGGGACGCAGCCGATAGTCCTTATTACAGTCGGCCACACACCCATGACGCATCGGAATATTGATCAACACGTTCCACATTGCGACTTCTACTCGCCTCAACTTCATATTTACAATCATCAGTGTCTAACCCAGCCTGCATAATCCCCTTTACCAGACAAATAAGAAGTGGAATAAGATGACAAGATGACAGCTCGTAGTGACTGCGCTCCAAACTGGCCCATTCGCCGACAGGTTTGACCCTCTACAGCCATGTCTATCCAAAGGATCCAGCACGGGCGAACACTGGCAGTCAGAGATTTCAGGAGTCCACATGAGCTAGGGGTTTGTCAAATTAGTCATGACGCCTTTGCAGCAATCATGTCATTTCCACGTCTGTTATTGGGGCAGGTTTGAGGACTCCGCATCTCGAGGACCTCCGCCCCGGCAACACGTCTGCTGGATACACTTGAACCCTGCTGGGTGGGCAATCGCCCTGAAACTGCTTGCTCGGATCGCAGCCTGCTTCCAAGCAATGGATCAAGCGCCAAAATACTGAACTACGCTGGCCAATGTAGGAAATTGCTAGAAAAATCACGACCACAACGCCCATCTGTATCTACAGCGAGTTGTAATTTTCACCAAACAACGAAACAAATGAGGGTACATTATATAAGAAGTAAACAGTGTGAATTGTTCAAGTAAATGTTCTGCTTAACTGATTGTAGATAGACCACAACGTCCCACTAGATATCCTATTTTTTTCCAAAAGATGTCTGTTCTGAACAGTCTTGTGCCGCGTTCTGGTCTGTTTGTCATCGTCACATGGAGTGCTACTGAAATTTTGGCCCCAGTTGTAAAGGATTTCAATAGCCTGTTGTGGGAGCAACCCATAGTTGAAGGATCAGATTCACACTTTTCATCTCCAGATCATGAGCTCGTTCCGGCATTGGCGAGCAACACCTTCATAACTGTTGCTCCACTCGAGTTAGATAAGCAATATAAACCTATGCATGATCAGTTGTCTTTACCGTCCGACCCGCTCCTTAACGAACCAGCACCTCTGGCTCTCACTTCCTCTCCATCCTTGACGTTAGCGCATATGCTACTCGGGTCTCAAATAGGTGAGATTGCACATAATCACCAATATATCCAAAATTGCAATTTACCATCAATCCCCCACCTGGTCGAACTTGAAAACTTAGCTCCCATCCCCCCTCCATCCTCGACGTTGGTCGACGTGCTGATGGGATCTGAGAAATGTGGAATGGAAAATGATCACCAATACGCTCACGGATATGTACCACCAGTCACACTCCTTGCAGAACCTGTAAATTTAGCTCCCACTTCCCTTTCATCCTCTAAGTTAGGAGAAGTGTTACTGGAATCTGAAACAGGTGGGCTTGCATATAATCACCAATATGCTCAAAGAAACCTTCAACCCTTCCCATCCCATGCCCAAGATCCTTCAACTATTGGACATGCTCAAGATTATTCAATTGATGGACACAGTGAATATCCTTTGATTGTTCGACATGCTCAATATTCTTCAATTATTGGACATGTTCCAGGTCCTTCAATTTTTGGACATCCTCAAAATACTTGGATTGCTGGACATAGTCCAGATCCTTCAATTTTTGGACATGCTCTGGCTCCTTCAATTCTTGAATATGCTCAAGATTATCCAATTTTTGGACATGCTCAAGATCTTTCAACTGTTGGACATGCTCAAGATCCTTCAATTTTTGAACATTTTCAAGATGCTTTGGATGTTGAACATACTCAAGATTCTGGAATCATCCACTATCCTTTAGTTGTTGGAGATGTTCAAGATCCTTCCATTGTTGTGCCTGCTCAAGATCATTTCATTGCTGCACATGCTCAAGATTCATCAATCATGGGACAACCTCATTATGCCTCAATTACTGGAGGTGCTCCAGATACCTCAATTCTTGGGCATGCTCAGCATCCTTCAAATGTTGGACATGCTCAACTGCACACTTCAACTGTTGGAAACTTTCAAGATCCTTCAAATATTGAGGATTTTCAAGATCCTTCAATCATTGGTCACAGTAAGTTTTGACTTTTTAAATGTTCATTTTAAGTTGCAAAACATAACTGAAACCCACAAAATCCTAAACCTAAAATAGCAGATAATACAAAGTATAGCTTTTCAGATCAGAAGACGTTCAAAAAAGACCATCTTATGATTGAGAAAAATTTGAGTAGAGATGAATTTACCATGCCAAGCTGGAGTCCTAATACTATTCCTTGTGAGTCTGAAGTGTCACTAATGGTAGAAAAGTCAAGCCTTGGGAAGAAAGTCAAATGTTTATCACCTAGTAGTCTTGTATCAAATGGTCTTATTGTGGAATCCCTTATCAAGCATTTCACTTCCAAGTTTCAGAAAAGATTAAATATGCCTGAATTCAACATGCAACCTAATGGTAAGAGATGGTATCACCCAAATTTACCCTACATGCTGGTAAATTGTCAGGTTGCCTCCCAAGGCAAAGTCTCAAGAGTGCTCATGGGTTCAAGCCAGGAGAAGAAACAAAGGGCAAAATATGTATCATTTTACACTGTTTTGATTGGGTGGGTATATGATCTCCATAAGAAAGAATTAAAGCAGCTCAGAATACCAACAGAAAGTCACACATTCCAGCACAGGAAACTGCTAGAATGGCTTGAAAATGAAATATGTTCGCCGGTTAAGAGTCTGCCAGTATTAGGAAATGTAGCTGAATCTCCATTGGAGGTTTCTGGAGGAGAATTTGGACCAATTCAGTTGAGATTGATAGAGTATTTTTCAGTTGGTGGTGTCCAAAAACATGAACTTGCTCCAAAGCTTGCTTTATTTATCTTAGAGGATTTCCAAATGCAACATTTAGGTGCGTGATTTTTCACTATTTTCAAGTATATAAGGAGATCTAGACTAATGACTGAATCTTAAATATCCACTGAAATTCAACACTTGTATTTTCATGTAGATGATTATGTCTGTTTGATAGAACCTTCAAAGGCCATCAAAGAGAATTTGATTGAGAATCCAACAGACCCAAATTTCCAGAAGATCATGAAGTTCTTTGATCTATTACAATCCTCATTAGCATACCAACAAAGAATAGCAGATGATGATCCAAGTAAGAAATTACTATTAAGATGTAAAGAATCATTTGATAATAAACTTGATAGGTTGACAATTATTGACAAAACCACTAGAAGTAGTCATCCAAATTTACCAGTAGCAATTTACTTCCCCAAGGAACATTCAGCTATTAAAACCTTGCGTGTTTTATTGGATGGTGAGAATCATGCAGTTAATGCAAAATTCATCAAACCAAGATTTTACAGCTTGATTAAATTAATCCATATTTTGCATAAGAGATTATTAAAGAAGTGGAAATTTGATGAAGAATACAATGAATTGATTGAAAACGGTTTCTTCACATGGTTGCTAGAGGAGATATATGAACCCAAGAGTAGTTTACCTGTCCAAGGATTTGTAAAAATTGCAGGTGATTACATTGCCCCTTGGGATCTAGCCATTGGAGATGATGAGGACCAACCTCAAATTTTATTTGGAAATGTTCAATTGGTCTTGATCAAATTCTTCTCAGTTAAACAAACCATCCAATCTTTATCTTACACTGCTAAATTCTTGATCGCTAGTTGGTATCAATGTAACCCTCCAAATATCCAATCAAAATACTTCAAAAACATTCACAAGTTTTTCGGACCTCTACCTGGATCACCAATCGCAAAAAACTTGGGTAAAATTCCTTTGAAACCATAACACAAACCAATCAGTCCACTTGTTAGAAAAATGCAATCGATCTTGATTTCTTGACTAGAGTTTATCAAAAGAATTGTGTATAGAAATGTATTTGATTATTGTTTTCGTACCGTCACACCTTATATGACACTTTTCCCCATAGGAAAAACGCGATTTGGCCTGTTTCCATTCAAATCTACAATCGTTCTCTTGTTTTTTTTTTTTGAAAAGACAAAGCCTGTTTGAGATAGCTTTCTTATTTCTGCTTTTTATCAAGTTAGGCAATACACAACAAAATCAATGCCATGCTTCTTGTTATAAAAAGATTTGTGTAGTGGATAAATTAATGGATAGTTTCAATGCAAATCAAGATTTCCAAATCATTCAAAAAATGTGTTAATGGTTATAAACAAACCAAAACTCCTTTTCCATTAAAGTTTTTTTTTTCTATGAAGAACTGAACTCAAGGGAACTGCTTGAGCAATGGTTAGAATCCGTGTGCAATTTTTCTGGTACACCTGAACCGGAACACATTTAACTTCAAACATCGATCTGATGTCTCGCTCAGACGCCTTCAAAAGATGATGAATTTTTTTATCAAATCTTAATTTGGTATTGTTTGGCAGTCGTTTTGAAGCTCGGAAATTTCTCAAACTTGCACAAAATAAAATGTAATGAAGGAGGGGGGGAATCCGGGTGTAAACAAATTCACAGCTCTAGAAATAGACCTTTTTGAATGGCTTTCAGGTTTCAGGATTTGGATAACCAAGACACATTTCGAAATCTGCTCGAAAAGGTTTTAAAAACTGCCTCTAGAGGGAACTGCTTCTTTTTCTAATATTTTAGATTGGCTACAGGGGTCGAAGCCTGAGACCCGTCATGCCTTGCTGATAAGGAACACCAATGACATGTCAACCGGGTTCAATCAGTGGTTCCCAACCCGATCTTTGGCGTCCGTGGTGTATGCAGCTTGAAAGATCAAGATTTCATGGAATAGAAAAGAAATCACTTCAGGATCGGCGTATCACCCAGGATTTATATTACATGAACGGATGTATGAGGGTACGAGATGATGATGGTGATTTAAGTTTGCATCGGAGTAGGCCCGGTACCATTTGATTTAGTCTTTTCTAATTCGGCCCTACAGAGGAGAAGAAAAAGATCGGTGGGGAGAATAAGATGACGGAAAACGAGATGGTTTTTTGATTTAACTTCTATTATCGTTCTATCTATGGGAAATCAAGAGAGAGAGAGAGGACGTGACAAGACGGACCTCAATTGATGTGCAAAATCGCTCTCGATCACATCGTCGTCCCAGTTATCCTCCCATAGATCATCCATCGTCACTTTCTTCCCATTGGCTTGTCCGTCTGTTGTCGACCCTCGACCCCCGTTTGCCTGTTTGGCTTGATCGACCGTATTGGCTAGAGACGAGATATCGGATTCGGCGGCAGTCCAATCTAAATCAAATCCACGCAACGGTTAGATTTAGTGTCAATGTATTATTCTAAAAGAAACATGGAAAGAAAAGCTGGATGAAGCTTGAAGGCCAGAGATAAGCAGATAAACGAGGGAGAGACAGACTTTCGACCGGGAAATCTTCGAATTCATCGTCTTCACCTAACGTGTCTTGTTGCGGGTTAGGAGTAGAAGATTTGTTCAAATCCGAGGCCAGTTTAGAGTTCTGGGTTTTGTTGGTCGGGTTCGAGTTGGTTGAACTTGCCATCTTGTGCGTGTGTTTCCTTTTTTTTTTGGTTTCAAGCGTGGTTGACGATAGTTCGCTCGGTGTGAGTGTTTCTGTTGGTTGGTTTTGTTGTGTCCAGCAGTGACACTGGTGTATTCGTCATGTTGTCAACTGCAATGACCGGGGGATTGTCAAACGGGTGGGGAAGGGGGGTCGATCGGATGATCGGGGATTGCGGACGCTCTGGCGGGACGGATTCGTGATAGGTTGGTGACAGTCTTATCTAAACATTTCTTCACTGGAACAGTCCAGATTCACAGTTTGCTTTAGATAATAGTGAATACTCAAGCACTTGATGAAAATGATTACCAATCATATCAGATCATCAGAATAACTCACAAAAAGTTGTTTTTTTAGTACTTGGGATACAGATTTCACTTGAGATTTCTCCTGGTTGCTTATGGAGTTGAACTGATAAACATGAATGGTTTGCTGGCCAATTGCTCAACACAGCACATAAATCACTGTGTGATTTTTAATTGAATGGATAGGAATTTGATTGATTGGTTTGGTCACGCATTCTCATCATGAATTAATGGTAGATGTGACACAGATATGTCAATGATGAGTTTATACAGAAATAATAGACCAATTTTTGTTTGCACAATTATACTCCCAAGAAAAAGAACCTTGGCATATTGAGAAATCATGATAGTTACAGAGTTGGTCCAAGTTGATAATCATAGTGTTAGAAAACCAGATTATTTACAGTGATAACAAGATCATTTGAGCTTACAGGAGTCTTGGTAGAGATATGTATGATTTGAAATGAGTTTAATTCTTGGAATGAGTGATCCATGAAGGCTATTAATATTCCTCAGGGATGATTTCAATTTTTTCCAATACAAATCTGTTTTGAATCTTGAATCAATTTCTTGAGTGATTTTTTTTTCACATCATGTGAATGTAAGAGATTTAATCTTGTTAGTGCCAAACTTTTCACATTCTAACTAGGGTATATTATTTTCCCAAAAGTAGATATTAGCAAATCTAGTGATGAGTGGAATGGAGCTGATCCATACCAAGGCAATCTGGTTTGAGTTTGTTTCCTAGTTGAGAGAAATTGTTCTTTTCAGAGGAGTTGTTTCTTGAATAGGAGACTTGAGTTGAGTCAAGTGGATGTCACAAGGATGAGCTGTCACAAGCCTATCGGAATGGATCAGATGTCACAGATTTGATCATCCAACCCTGATTTCCTCAGAGAAAAAGGAAGTCAGCAGAGAAATCGGAAGACTTTATCAGGAACGAGCAACTAAAGAAAAGAAAAGAAAAGGGAAGCGATCGAGAAGCAGAAGAAGATGATGGTACAGACCACGGAAGCGATCGACCCTACCCAGTCCCAGTCCCAGTCACAGTCCCAGTCACAGCCTCAGCCTCAGCCTCAGCTTCAGCCCCAGCCCCAGGCTCAGTCGGTTCGAGTATCCCCACCAGCAGTCGAATTGGATCCAGCTGTAATTGAAGCAGAGAGACTAGACAGCTTCATCAACACACTCATCAACAACTCAACAACAACAACAACAACCACTAACAACAACAACAACAGCAATAACAACAACACTAATAAAACAGAAAACACTCCCATCCTCATCTCAAACGAAGAACTAGCACAACAACAACAACAACAACAACAACATTTGGGCAGAGGGAAGAAATGGCAGCCAGAGGAGGACGAACAGCTGTCACGGGCATGGCTCAAAGTCTCGGAAGAAAACCCCGCAGGATCGTCTACTTCGACCGACCAACGCTCGGTTCATGATACCTTCTGGAACCGGGTCTCCGACGAATTCCTGCGCTCCTCTCCTGGCTCTCGTCGACCACCTCGATCGATCCAACAGAGGTATGCATACACTACCATGACGGCTTCTTTTCCCACACATCAGGGGGGAAAAACTGATGAATGATCGATTGATTGGTATGTGTAGATGGGCTAAATTGCATCAAAGCATCAGCCAATTCGGCGAGTGTTACGAAGAGCAAGAGAGTCGCTTACGCAGCGCGGGCACGGAAACCGAAGAGGCGGGAGCGGAAGGAAGCATGGCCGAACGAGTGCTGATCGAGGCGATGAAGCAATACAAACAGCGCACCGAACAGAACTTCATCCATTACACATGCTGGACCATCCTGCGGGACCGCAAGCAATGGACCGAGCATCTCGCCAAGCCGCGCATGATGCCCCTCAAACGCAAACTCACCGCCACAGACGATCTGCAGGCTACTGAGAACGAGCCCGGAACGCTCCTTCATCCTTCGCTCGTCGCTCATCCGTTTCCCTCCACTGCTTCTACTGCTGCTACTCATACTCACGAAGCAGTCGATATTCCCACCCGGCCTGCTCTCCCTCTCTTACCGCCTTCCAAAACTCTCAAACTGACCCCTTCTTCGTCTTCTACTCACCAACCTCAACCCCAACCTCAACCCGCTCTTCCTCCTCCACAACAAGCTCCACAGCACCCTCCCCCTCCTTCCCCCTCCTCCTCCCCCTCTTCGTCTTCTCCGCCGCCACCGGAGCTGATGGCTCTCAACGAAAAACGATTGACGTTGATCCAAGACTTGGTGGACTCGATCAAGGAGAAAAACCGACTGTTGAGCCAGTTCAACCAGCTCGAACGCGAAACTAACCAGATCAAAATCATGGCCCAGTTCAACTCCGACGAGTCCCAGCTTTGGTTCAAACTCAAACAACAGGAAATCCTCAACGAATTCAACCTGAATATCCTCTCTTGATTTTTCTTCTTTTGGACTTTGTCCATCTATGGTCCTCTTTGATGTATTCTGTTTGTTTTGCTCAATCCACTGTCCCGGACAAATAATTAAAAACCAGTTTAACCCCAATCCGGCCTCTCAATATCTCTCTTTCTCCACACACACACACCCGCCGTTCTATTCCCTTCCGATCTCTTTTTGTGTGTGTATGTGTGTTTGTCTTCGGTAAATCCATTCCATCAACTTCTGCCTCAAAAACTCGAACCGAAATCACTCGAAACAAAAAACCATGAGAGAGACCATGTTTTTCCTCTTGGTCATAATAAAGAGAAGAGAAGATTTTGTTTGCCTGCCATAGAAGCGAGAGGGAACCAAAAAGAAAGAATACAATAAGGTTGAATAACAACAGCCTCTTTCGGTGATGATGATTCAACACAAACAGGGTTACATATGAGGGCTAGAGAGAAAGTTTAGTCTTGAGGGATCAAGGAGCTTGAAGGATTAAAGAACTGATAACGACGATTAAGTTTAGCGAACGCATGTGGCGTAATTTTGTTTTGATGATCGATCGGATTAGAGGCGAGATTGGTAGTAGTCGTCGCGGAAGAAGAAGGAGGATAGACTTGGATATCGGAAAGCCCTATTGTTTTCGATGGAGGATGATCAGAAGGAGGAGCAGACGGAGGAGGGGGAGGGTGAGTAGAGGCGGGAGGGGGATGGAGACGGTGGTCGTCGATGATCATGTTGTGAAGGATGAAGGCGGTCTTGATGAGGATTTTCATCGAGTTAGAGGACCAGAGACGGCAGGGAAGATAGATGATTTTGAAGCGAGTTTGGAGGGCGTCGATCGCGCGTTGGAAGTCGTCTTGAAGGGTGCGTTTGAAGTGATGGAGGCTCTCTTGATTAAGCGGACGATCGGGGAGGAGATTGTCGAGTGATTTGAGCGGAGGAGAGGGCGGATAGAGCGGCTCGGCCAGACAATAATAGGCGGATGGGTTGGATGAGGGGAGCAGGGGAGGGTGGAAGCTGGGGGCATAGATCGGGGGGAGCGGGTGGAAGAGGTCGAGGTCCTTGCAGGTCCCAGGGGTCGAGACGAAGCCGGCCCAGAGCCAGCCCCGATGGTCGACCAAGGCCTCGAGGACGATTGTCGGCGGGAGCTTGTTCTTCTTGTTAAAGCCCGTCGTGCCGTTGGTGTCGGCCGAACAACCGACGGTGGACGCAGTAGTCGTACTATTGGTCTTGAACCGGCCGCTCCAGCCGGTCGGACAACTCTCCCATTCCCACGACCTCGTCCCCAGATATCCATGCAAGCCTTCCGGAAACCCGCGCGCTTGGTTGTGTTGGCTGATCTGCCCCAGCTCGTCCGTCGTCGGCTCCCGCAAGTACCTCGGCCCATACAGCTCCTCCAGGTTGTAGCAGAACCGGATCAGACTCTCCAGCGCTGTGCTCTCGGCCATCCGGATATACTCGTCCAGAATCGCCGCTGGCTTCCCAATCCCATGGCTCAGTTGGCGGATCGCTACTAGCACTTTTTGGTAACTCGAATGACCTAGATTACCTAGTGCATCCTGAAAAAAAGAAATGTTTTATTCATTCTCCGAAGGTATAGATGTTCTTTTATTATTATTGGCCTTTAACTCACTTTTCTTTGAGTGAAATGGAGATCATTCTTGATCAGATCGGCATGGATTCGTCGAAACAGATTCTTCGACAACTTGAACTGATCATAAAACCGTGCATTTTCTTCCTCTTTCTGTCGTTCAACTTCTTCATTTTTTTGTTGTTGTCGATTGTTATCGGAGGGTTGTTCTTCAAGTGGATCGAATCTGAAGAAGTCTTCCATCAATTTCTGGTGTGCTCCGAGATGGTCTCGCTTGACGTTCGGTTTTTTACCCTTCCGTTTGCTGATTGCGGTAGTATTATTTGTTGTTTTCGTATCTGGGTCCTTGTTGTTGTTGTTGTTTGAGTTTTGTTTGGATGGTCGTCGTTTGTTATTATTTGGTAGTCGATGTCTAGTCGTCGTTGTTGTTTCTGGTTGTTGTTGTTCTGGTTGTTTGGTTTGTTTATTCTGTTTGAATCTTTCGAATCCAGGCATGTTGATTAATTCATCGATGATAGCTTGTTCGTTTAAGTTCTCTTGAAACTCTTCTCTGATTAATTCGATCCTCCTCTTCTTCCTTCGTTTTTGATCCTCTAGGATATCTAGGATGAAGTCTGTGTTTTGATTCCTAGTCAGTCTCTTTATGTATCTCTTTGAATGATTATTATTTCTTTTTTTCATTGCTTACGTTGGTTACTGTCCATCGAGTCCAATCTTTGTGGTGATAGTTTTTGTTTTTGTTTTTTTGGTTTGAGTTTTGAGTGCTGTGATCATGATCGAGTTGTAGACAGTAGTTGAGGGTTCTCTCGGTCTTCCCCCCGGGTCTTCCCCCGGTCGATAGCAGCACTGCATGGTCATGGGGGAGAAGAGAGAAAGAACAAAGCTTCACAGCAAAACCAAAACCAAAACCAAACCAACCAAGATGGGTCTCATGAGAACCCCACCAAGCAAATCACCAACCAAATCACTCGACAACCTACTCAACTCAATAGCACCATCACCATCACCAACCCAAAAACAACAACCACAACAAGAACAAGAACTACCTCAATCTATTCCTAAACGAACAATCTCCCAAGAACTAGACCCATTCAAAAAGAAACCAAAACTAATCAGAAGCCCACCCAATCAACAACAACAACAACAACAACAACAACAACAACAACAGCCCAAACCACACCAACAACCCTCATCAATACCCGTATTCACTCGACAACCTAAAACACCCAAACCTAGAATCACTCACACCCAACTAATCACTTCATCCTCATCACATCAAGCTCAATCGCCATCTCAACATCAAAAACCATCTCATATAGCTCAAGATCATCCACCTGGTCAGTTTGAACAAAAACTGTCATTGCCATAAAAACAAAACTGACTTTTTCATTTATTTATTTGATTGTCACGTGCATCACAAATTTATTCTCTTGAATACACCACTTAAACCAGAAGAAGAAGAAGAAGAAGAAAAGGAAGAGGAAAAAGAACATGAAGAGGAGCAAAATGAACAAGAAGAACAGCAGAAGGAAGACGAACAGCACGAGGAGGAAGGGGAGGAACAGGAACCAAAAGAACAAGAGCAAAAACACCAAGCACAAGATGATAATGATCCCGAGCCACCCCAAGATCACGACGTCGTCCAAACCCATCAGACTAGAAACCACGACACCAGCAATTTCCCTTCAAGATCTATTCCCCAAATCTCAACTATTGATCCTCCTCAGAAGCGCGCCGAACCATCATCAAGCCATTCTTCTCAACTCCCTCCCCAGTATATCGAGCCTCCGATCATCGCAAATAATAACAGACAACCGGCTCATCCGATAGAACCTGGAGCACTACCCCCCAAACCTAAACAAACCTCTCGCCGAAAGAGTCGGCATAGTGAAACAGATAAACGTCCTATACAGCCCATCGAGCAACATGCACCTCCCAAACTCACTCGACCAGCAGTTACGACGCAACCCGTAACTCATCAACCCACCTCAGAGCTTAAGGCGTTCACATCCCGGAAATCGTTTATGACTGAATACGATACCAGTCGAGAATCCAACACCACCACTTTAACCCCCAACCTCCAGTTCATGGAACACAGAATCGAAGAATTGGAAGAACTCGTCAAGTTGCTGGAGGAGGAAAGAGCCATGTCAGAACTAACACGAGAAGTTGAAGAGTCTCAACGGGCTTGGGATTGCGAGTGGGATGGGAGTAGAGAGAAAGAGTTCGATCGAGTTAAACTAGAAGAACGACTTTTATCGATCGAAAGTTCCTCAAAAAATCTTGAATCAGAAGTCCAACTGAAATCCTTAGAATTAAAGAACTTGGACAATCAACTGTCGATCAAAGATCATCAATGTTGGGAATTAGTAGAAAAGATCAACGAATATCAACGACAAAGCGTTTCATGGCATCAAGGATTGGTTGCCGAGCTAGAACAACTTCGGATCACGAATGCAGAATGGGCCCAGATCGGGCAGAACTTCGAGTCTTTAATCGAGATCGAGCGGCGGGAGAAGGAGGAACTCCAGGGCAGATTCGAGCTCGAGCTTCGCCAGTCCCAACTCGAGCCGAACTTCGAGATCAACGCACTCAAGTATCAGCTCGTCAAGGCTGAAAATCGTGCCGAGCGTCTCGATGAACAGCTGCGCGAACTGGCTGGTCAGTCTAAAACTTTCCAGGCTCAGTTGATCTCCGAAACCGCTCTCAAGGATAAACTTACTAGGGAGCTCGAGCTGTCTGAATGTCGCGTGAAGAGCCTGGCCGATCAGATCACAGACCTCAACAACTCCTTATCTCAACTCCAGAAGTAAGAACATTTTTTATTACAGAAAGACTTTAATCCATTGACGTTTTTTTTTTGGTTGGTTTGTGTGAGAATAGGGGCGAAGAGAGTACCCAACGGACCTTATTGCAAGATCTTTTGGCTGCCCGGTCGGCCTTGGCTGAGAAAGAGCAGGAAATTATTAACTTGAATGCACGTCTAAGCGTTCCTTCCCAATCATCTTTGACGCAACCACCCCCACCAACACTCCAACCCACGGCGAAACGTGGCCGGAAGAAGGCGGAACCAAGAAAAAAGTCAGGGGAAGAGGAGGAGGAAGAGGCTGGAGAGAGGGAAGAGGCGGATCGAGTGAACGATCCGGACAGACTGATCACTTCCGATTCCTGGGTCTCGATCGGCGCGGTGGCTAAAAAGCTTAACCGCAAACGACTGTCCAAGGGAGCCAATCCTTCTCCGTCAGACTCATCCACTCGCGATCCTGGGATCATCGGACCCTCTTCCAAGAATGGGGTCGCTGCTGACGAGGACGCGCTTCGACCGAACGACGCCAACCAACCTCCCAAGAGGAGGAATCCTAAACTGGGCAAAGCCAAGCAATCGACGCTCACCTCTAAAGAAAATGCTGAGTCGATCGATCATAACGTCCCTGAGAGCGATCGGTCTGTCGTCAGCCCTGAACCCGACCTCATCCAATCGCTCAAAAAGAAGAACGCTCAAGAGAGTAAAGCAAAGGCAACGATTCATACTTCCAAAGAGAAAGCTCAGCCGAATGTGTCCAATGAGAACGATAATGCTCCAGAAATAGAAGCAGAGGATGAGACTGTCGAACCGCCCGAAGAAGCTCCCGAACAACCGACCAACACGCGGGCGAAGAAGAGGGTTGGCAAGGGCAAGGCCAAACAGCTGAGTCCAGACCAAGAAGAAGTCGGGTCGCTTGAACCGGCTGATCAGCCGCGTGTCGAAACGAATGTCGAGCAACAGCCAGCGAAGAACTCTAGGCCAGTGAGAGGCAAAGCAACCAAAAAGACTGCCAAAGCCAATGTCGCCAAAAATAACCAAAACGACGACGACGAAGATGACGACGACGCCGAGAATGATGACCCAGAACCTGTGGTTGCCAAACGTGGAGCACAGAAACTGACGGCCGTCCAGGTCGGCATTCCGCGTGGGAGACGGAAGCAGGGCCGAGGTGCTGAGCAGACGCAAGCAGCAGAGGCCGCTGTGGAGAAGGATCCGGCAGACGAGTCGGATCTGATTGTGACTACTAATGAGGAAGATGGGGAAGGAGCTGAGGAGCATGGGGACTCTGCGATCCTAGCGATTGCTGAGCAGGACGATGATGAGGATGGTGAGGATGAACCACGCGCCGAGTCCCGAATGGGCGAGGAAGAGGATGACGAAAGAGAGGCCGCTGAGTCGCAAGTTGTCGCCAAGCGCAAAAAACCGGCCGGTCCTGGACGCAAGAAAGTCGCGCCTGCTCGTTCACGTTCCCCTTCCGAATCCATTCCTACCCCGCCCTCGCCCTCGCCCGCGTCGGGGAAAAAGAAGACGGGTAACAGTAGCAGTGGCAACAAGGTGCTTGACCCAGACAGAGTGGCGAGCTCAAATCAGAATCAGAAGACCCAAGCTGAGCCTAGCAGGAAGAAGAAGTTCGTCGAGAAGACAGAGGGACAAGAGGAGAAGAACAAGAAGAAGAAGATCACGACTAAGAAGACTGCTGTTGGGAAAAGGGCTCGGGCTGGGAAAGATAAGGATGAGGATGAGAGTGCTCCAGACGTCCCTCGCGAACCCTCGCATACTCAAAATGACTCGGATCTGGCCGGGAAGAAGAAGGGCAAGAAGCGCAAGAGCTCGCTTGGTAGTCCTGCTAACCCTTCCTCGAGAAACGAGTCCGGGCCCGCTCTTGAGAATCGTGAGAATCTTGATAATGATGAGCGTCTGGAGGATGAGGAGCAGGGTACCGTGCTGGAAGAAACTCTGAACAAGAAAAAGTTCGTCTTCCCTTCTCCTCTTCTTAATACCCCCTTGTTTCAAATTGCTTATGAGATGTTTGGGATTCTATTTCTCGGGTGATTTGTAGGAGGAAGATCTTTCATTCTAAGAAACCTACTTTGGCTTGGGCTAATAACAGGGACGACGAAGTAAGCCCATCTTTTTTTTTTTTTTTTTTTTTTTTCAACCCCCAAACCTATTTTGGAGAATCTTGACCGCTCACCAAACACTTTCTTTTTGGGATGGTTGATGTATAGAACAACATGTTAGGACTTCCGCCGGAACTGAGTCCGATCAAGAAGCCTGCACCGAAGAACGGCAACAATCCGTCGGGTCTCAAACGCTCCTCTTCGAAGATCGGCAATATTTTACCCATGTCGCTTTTGAAATGATCTTAATTGTACATATATCATTTTTCGTCTCCTTTTTTTTCTTTAGACTCATTTTTTTAAGGAAGCTTTCATATACCCCTAATGATTTGTTAATTCACTTTCTTCTGTGATGTTTTTTTTTGTTCGATGGGTCTCCATTCATGATCCCCTTCGCGTTCTTTCTCCTTTTTTTGTTTGGTGTACTCTGGGTGTGGTATATGTACTCTGGATCCGTAGTTCCCCTTTTTTTTCGAGGATTGTATGTTCTAGTTCATGTTGGGTGTTTTTTTTTTGCGCTAGTACTTTTACTTTCTCTCTTCATCTCAAGACGATTGATATCCACTCAAAAACTACACAACAAAAGATATGTTCGTGTGCAAAATGTAGGTCTCCTCTCATTGAGAATATCGATCCAGTGAAGAAGACATGTTTCATTTGACAAATCCATTTTCTTTTTCCCCTTGAGTACATTGTAATTCCTGAAGAGAAGAAAACTTTCCTTGGATTCAAACAACTAGTCATATGTGATTATCTATATATAAATGTAATATTAATAGTTTTCAATATAAACCGTTCAACAAAAACAACAACAAGCATACATGATATATGAGATATGTAAGAGATGAATTTTGAGATGAGGCGCTTTCTGAAAAAAACAAGAAAAGTCCAGTATCACAAGTGGAAGATTAGATGTTGCTCATCAACAGACCAGAGAAGAGGAGCGCAAAGAGGACCATCGAGTGGCTCGACTGCATGCTAGGGCCAGATTGGCTACGCATTCCTGGGTCCTCCAAGTATTCTCGTGAGCCTTCCTCGTACAGATATTTCTGGTTCTGTAGTTCACAGATCAAAGTTTTCAAAACAAAGACGGGGATCGTTAGACATTGGAAAGACGTTTTCTTTTTTTTTGGTTTGTTTGGTTGATATGGCAGAAGGGATGGAGGAGATAATAGCTTACCTCAGTGAGTTGTAGACTTTTCATGCCCTCAGATGGGTCGAATCCTCTCTGTGCTTCGGGGGTCAAGAATCGCTTGATCGCGTCGAACCCGGCTTGATGGGCCATCCTGTCGGAATCAGAAACAAACGTACTCTTTATTTTTCATAAAAAAAAAAAAAGAATCATAGGATAAAATCAACATTCATCTCCTGCTTGCCAAAAGGAGGGCTTGTGATAATATATATAAAAGACTTACGAGGTAGTTTCGTTCCAGTTGGAGTTGCGTGGGCGTCAGGGTTAGACTCTTGATCTTGCTGTCCAAGATCGCTTTTTGTTCGGCTGTCAAACTGTTCAACTAAAACAGAAAAAAAACACCCCAATCCGTTAAGAAGAGTATTTAAGGAAGATCAAATCAAGAAGAAAAAAAAAAAGCGGAATAAAAGCCTACAAAGATGGTCTGATTACCAAGCTGATGATTGGACAATTTGAGTTTGGAAGCGGCCCTTAACTGGTTGATCAACTCGACAGCCTTGAGGTCATCTTGGGCGTTAATCTGGGATGTCGCCGTTGAATTTTTCAGTGGCGACGAGCTGGGCGATATCCGGAGTAGCAGAAGAGTCGAAGTTTTCGACAGATGGTGTTGATGTAGTGTTTGAAGAGAAGCCAGCGAGTTTGGCGGCAGAAGAGGTTGCGATCAAGGGGGCCGACTTCATGGCCTTTGGAGAGGCTTGATTTGTCAGTGGGGGTGCGGCTGCTCCAGCCGGGGGGATCTCAGTCGTGTTGTTCATCTGTTGTCCGGCGGCCATCTCCATCGGTGGCGGCGTCTTTGCCTTGGACTTCGTGGCCGGTGGTGTCATGGCTGATTGAGTCTGATTGGCGGCAGTGGGCATGGGTGGATTTGGTGCAGCTATCGATGTCTGGTTGTCGGTGGCCAACAGGGTCTGGTTTTTCGTAGCTGGCATGGTCTGGTTCTTGGAGTTTGATGATGCGTTCATCTTCTTCTTGTTGTACTTGGTCTCGACCATGCTGGTATTCAACGCTTGACTATTATTAGTCATTTGTTCGGCTGGGCTGGGGGTCATGCCTGAGGCGGGCAGGGCAGACGGCGTCGAGTTGGTAGCGTTTGAGGCTTGCTTCATCGAGTACATGGGTTGGCTTTCTGTTGGCTGTTTGCTCTTCGGAGTTGGCATGAACGTAGAGAAATCGAATGGCATCTTTGTCTGGGGAGGGGTCGTCGTTGTCTGAGGAGGGCTCGTCGTTGTCTGGGGCGGACTCATCATTGCTTGAGGCGAGTTCATCGTTGCTTGAGGCGAGTTCATCGTTGTCTGAGCCGGGGTCATGCCCTGAGGCGGATTCATCATCATCTGAGCCGGGGTCATAGTCTGAGGTGAAGTCATGGACTGAGGCGGGGTCATCGTCATCGCGTCATTCATCGCTGGTGACTGGTTCCTCATCATTCCTGTGGCAGCATTGGGCGAATACGATCCCAAGGCTGGTAGTTCCTGAGCTGGATAGGGATCTTGCAATGGCGTGGATTGCGAGGCAAGACTTGGCTTTGGGAAAGCTCCGGTCTCTTGGGCGGCCATCCCGGCTGCTGGCATGGCTCCAGCCATCGAGGGAGCCTGCTGCTGTTGGGATAAGAATGGCTGTTGGCCGGCGGATGATTGGGCCATGGGACGGGGTGGCACGTTCGCCTGTTGCGGGTTTGCTGTTGGTTGTCCCATCGCCAGTGGGGCTTCGATTGCGCTGGTGGTAGAGTAGGTCATGGCCATCAATAGCCATAAGAAGCTTATCATGTCGACTGATGTATGCTGGGAGAGGATTAAGGCGGGTAAATGGACACTGATGCACTAGTTCAATAAACGAGTTGAAAAATTAAATTAAATAAATAGATAAATAAATAAAAAGGTATTAGGATTGACTAAGAAGAAAGAGAAACTCGTATGATTCCCGGGTTAGATGGGAGCGAGGACTGCACTTCACAAATGATATGTTCCGTTCACCAGGAATCAGAAGAAGAAAAAAAGTAATGTTTTAGACGTTTGAAAACGAGATGGGATGAACAGTTCGAACAGGACGGAAGATAGACTGCTCATATATGTGTTCGTTGTTTCGGGCCATCGAAGCCATTGGAGTTACTGAAGTTGATAAGGCTGGGCTCGGGGTAGTTGAGCCATGCCAGTCATGGCATGGCCCATGGGCATGGCGCAGACTTCGGTGGTCCTAAATTGCCTACACCCCGAGGCGAGTGAGACGGCCGGGCAGCAGCAGATCTTTTTCAAGGGCCACGGCGATCCCAGCGACTGGGGGGTGTCCGCATGCGTAGATGCTTCTGCCCGGTGCTCCATATCATCATCTGTATTAAGGCTCCGGCTGATCGTAAAGGGAATCGGTGCCAAGCCGTCGACCGGAATGGATTGCTTCCGGTTGATCAGGTCATAACTTGATCCTAT